AGTGGCTGACTAAGGACATTGAAGTTAGTTGTACATGGGTAAAGAGAGGTGCAAACTCATTGGCAGATGGTTTAGCTAAGCAAGGGGTGAATAGAAACTCTATTTTTTGTATTGCTTTGTAATTGATTTACAGTTTGGGTGTACATTGATGTATTAGGGAGTTAATATTTTTTTAGCTCCTTAGCTATGTAATTTCTCAATCTTTAATAAAATTCACTATTATTGATCAAAAAAAATAGCACCAGAATCAATAATTCAAGAGTTATATACTCTAGGGCTACTCACACTATGAGAAGAGACAATACCTAATTTGGCAAGAGAGGTGGATGCAAGTGGGTTGTTCCTCTAGAACAGCTAAGAATTTCTACCTCATCAGCTATGAAATCCAAAAATGAACTTAATGTGAGGGAACTAGTGGTTTGTTCCATTGGAAGAGGAGCAACTGCGGGTGTGTTCTTTTGGTTGTCAACATTGTTACTTATAACAACATTTCCACTTGTTGTTTAGCCCCTCTGAGGCTTCTTGTCCTTTCTTAATGCAGCTGGTAAAGAATCTAGCAAGTCTCTTTTAGATGCATGTCTCCTCCACAATGAGAGCAATTGAGGTGCCTCTTGTCTGAACCCTTGCCCCCTTTTTGGCTTTAAAAAATCAAGGTTGAATGTTCAATAGGTTGTGATTGGGTGTCTACTTACATCTCTTTCCATCTAACTTCTTCGTTCCTTATAAGATAGTAAACATGTTGTAAATCTGGAAGCTCATCCCTTCCCAAAATTTGAGATTTTATACTTCAATATATTAGGTCCAAGCCAGCCAAGAACTTAAAAGCTCTACCATCTTCTATCTGTTTATCATGCCTCTCCTTGTCTCTTGCATTCTCCCAGTCAAGTACAAGATGGTGGTCCAGTTCTTCCCATAATACTTCCACGGATGCAAAATAAGTTGCAATAGACATATCCCCTTGCCTCAATGCAACAATATCTTGTGTTAGTCTATACATTCTTGTATTCTTTTTCCTCTGTCCATGGGTTTTAGACACCTCTCAAATCTTAACGGATGTAGGGAATTGCCTTGCACTAGGGCATAACAACAGCATTCTCCTTGCACCAAGTTGAGTATTGAGCATCATCCCCTTTACGTTCCTTCCTCTTTCCATCTATATAACCCATAAGCTTCCAAGAAGTAATGAAAAGTTTGACTAAAACAGACCATTCTTTGAAATTGTATTCATCCAACAACAAATTGGTGATTTGCATATCATGCAAATTTGGAATTTCCAGGTTTGAACATCTCCCACCAGTCCTACTGTCCTTAGAGGACACTTCCCCGGATATAGTGAACATGTTATGCTCCTAACAGTAGAAAAGCACAAAATTACAAAAAAAAAGCTAAAAATTCAAAAAAATCAGAAATTTCAAAAAAAATGCCAATTTTTTTTCTAAAAATGCAAAAATTCAAAAAATATTAAACATAATGTTAATAAAAATATAAACTTAAATTTTGAAATAAATGTTTTAAAAAACCTATTATCTAAAATTAAAATACATAAGCATAACATGTAAAGCGTATTCAAATGAAAATTTAAAAATAAAAGCAAACATATAAAGCATTTTCAAGCATGTAAAACCCACAATCTCTTTCCTCGATTGCATTGCTTCAAGTAGCTAATGTGATGTAAAACATATTGCACTCTTGATTCTACGAGTTGCCTTTGTACCACGCCCCTCGAGGCAAGCCCGAACAAGTCTATGTTAGGGTCTGAAATTCTTAATTCTCACAAAAAAAATAATGATTTTATAACTTTCATTGCCTTTTAAAAAGATATTTTATTGCAATGAATGAATGAACAACATTAGCAAATAGGAGGTTCTCGGTGTTAGACAGTTTTGTATGCCCTTAGCTTCAATCAGAATGATGTACTTTATGAGTTTATTGTAAATGAATAAAGATACATATTTGATACATGTTCCCTTGGTATGTTTCTGTGTAATACCCTTAAACTGGACACTTAATGAGACTCGTGTTAGTTTAGAATGTTCACA